GTCATGCTCGTACTATAGCACCTACCCTAAAGATTTATTGCAACAGCGTATCGAAGCATAACATTTCCACAAAATGGCGAATGCGAGTGAACCAGAGAGCAGAGGCCTCGGACCATCCCACCTCTGGAATGATGACGAAACAGACAAGAAGAACACTGATGCCGATGTTCATGAGCAGGATCCATCGAAGGAAGGTGAAGTAGGAGGCCACGGCCGTGCCGAAGTGGGACTCGATCCGCTTGATCTGCTTCTGCCACGGCACGGCTGAGGTCATCCAGTTGGCGAACTCACGCTGGAACAGCTGCCAGTACTGGAAACAGACGGCACGTCCGCCTTTTAAAGCCAATGACCTAGTGTTGCTCCGTGCAGGCGGATGTGTTGGGCGGCGAAGGACAGTATAGCCCCGCGACTACACAGCATGGTTCACTCTTAATAATCACTAAATAGTCAACTAGATGCACGAACAATCAACAGCCTTTAAACTAACAAATTCACCGAAACGAAGCAATGACTTGTTCTCTCTGGTGAAGCGCACAAAACGTGTACCACCTCATTAGGCGCGATGGCGCCATCTTAACCTGCCGGACAGGGCCGCACTCACGCGCAGGAAGACGAGCGAGTAGCGCGCCATGATGTCTCGCGCCGAGCGACTCTGCGCCAGTCGCTCAGCCAGCTCGCCCTCGTGCTTCGCCACGTAGATCTTGGCCTGAATCACCAGATTCAGTTTCCTGCGATAGCGGCGGCGGGGTTTAGCGGAGCTGGACCAGCCACAAGGGCTGGCAGAGGGCATTCAGAGGCTCAGATGAAGGCACTTCTGACACCCTGCATGTCAACTTTCTAATACTAGTTTACTTTCTCTGATTCAGGATCAACTGGATAATATGAATTGCCATCTTGCATTGGTTCTTGTGCTTCTGTATGCCCGCCAATGGAACTGGCAGTTTTCCTCTGTTTCCGTCTTAACGTGCTGACTGACATGTACTAAGACTGCCGCGCAAAATACAAGACTGAAAATAACCATGTAAGACTTGTTGAATTAGCTTAGATGATTTTTTTGCCGTAACCTATGTGGGATGTACAGTTATCCACATGGCGTCGCAAAATTGGCAAAGGTCGCGCATGACGCCACGATGAACGTTTAAAACAGCTTCGTTGGCATGTTCAGATCGTTTCATCATGAAAGGCTTAATCAGCGACACATAAAATCTGCAGTAATCTAAAATTGAAACACTGACTGAGCGCAGTAAGAATACCTTTGCATTGGCCATGGCTGGTGCTTGATTTCGCCAATAACTTCCTTGTGCAGTCGGATGTTTTCAAATATCTGCTCTTCGTTGTCCGATTCGTCAACTTCCAACACCACACTGGAATGAAATGTTCACTTGCATGCCATGGCTGCAAACCCTCACGCCTGTGTCCCTGACAATGAAATGTTCACTTGCATGCCATGGCTGCAAAGTCTCACGCCTGTGTCCCTGACAATGAAATGTTCACTTGCATGCCATGGCTGCAAAGTCTCACGCCTGTGTCCCTGACAATGAAATGTTCACTTGCATGCCATGGCTGCAAAGTCCGCACGCCTGTGTCCCTGACAATTGAAGTGGTTTCACTTGCATGCCATGCTGCAAAAGTCCTCACCGCCTGTGTCCCTGACAACACTCTGTAGTTTCATGGTATACAACATTTTGGACACACCACGAATGACGGTGTGGTAGTTTCCTATTCCATTGTGGGAAGGGGATGTTGAGGGAGGGCCACACAACCACACCAGTTGGGCGCTAATTCTCACGTTGAGAAGGAAGGTGGGTCAAAATCAACCCGGGGAGAAGCCTGTGTGTTGGTATTTTGGGGTTAGGCTGTTCACTGTTGTAGAGAGCTTGTTCACTGCTCCCTCCCCCAACTTGGTTTGCGAGACTACGCCCCCTGCACCAGGCATTACATCATAGCTCTCTGGCACTGTTTCGGACAAAATATGGTGGGTGTTGGACACTCCTCGCACATGGCGTTAGGTAATGACACATTCCAGACATTAGGCTGCGGCTCTCTAATACGAACTCCACAAATACAACTCGGGTAAATTCTTACACAAACTTAGACAAACATAACCTATGTGGTGACATTCTTCCCCTGACGTGACTTGGTTTCATGATATTCCCATGGCCTACCCATTGTCCACATAAAACCGCTCTCCAGACAGCAGAGCGTGTTCAACGACACTCACTCCCCGACGCGGGGCCGCAGCGCCGGCTACGCTCCGCGACACGAGACCGCAGAGCCGGCGACACTCACTCCCCGACACGGACCGCAGCGCCGGTGACACCCACTTCCCGACACGGACCGCAGCCCCGACGACACTCACTCCTCGACACGGACCACAGCGCCGGTGGCACTCCCCCCCCCCCCCCCCCCGACACGGACCGCAGCGCCGGTGACACTCACTCCCCGACACGGACCGCAGCGTCGGTGACACTTCCCGACGCGGACCGCAGCGCCGGCGGCACTCCCCGACACGGACCGCAGCATCGGCAACTCTCCCCGACACGGACCGCAGTGCCGGCGACACTCACTCTCCGGACATGAGACTGTGGTTGCGGGAGGAGCGGCTGCGGCCGCGGCGCAGGGAGCGGCGCGAGTCGCGGCTGCTGGCCTGGCGGTGCAGGCGGCGCGAGCCGCGCCGCGAGCCCTGGCGCTCCAGGATCTGCGACACGCTGGCCGAATAGTCGTCGTCGTCCTCGTCTTCAGCCGCTCCCACTGGCCGGTGACGCAGGGTTAGCAGCGGTCCGGGGAAGGTGGGCTGGGACGCTGACGCTCCCAGCCCAACTGGCCGGCACGAGGGTGCGATTGTAGCGTCTGGGAGCTGATGACGTTAAATAAGTCACAACGAATACACTCGGTGCAAGGCAATGGACAGTGTTTGAGGAGTGCGAAGATGATTTAACGGTCCGACTATCATGCAAGTTGCCCGGATGTTAATCATGGGAGAGGTTACAAGTCCTGGTAATCTGGACGCAGATTGTCCTGCACATGATCGCCAGTTCCACTAAAACGAAGCTTTCTAAGCACCCCGGACCTTAATAATCCACACCTGAATAGAGCTGCCCACTGCGATCCGTCGCCATGGAGCCCGCGAGCGCGCACCGCCCCTCACCACACTCCGCCGGAAGTGCGACGCTTCACGCCCGCGGACCGCCGCGGGCCTCAAATGGCCGCGCACTGAAGCCGAAGAGGTGCGTGTCGGTGGCAATCTCCGATCGGTCAGTCGGTCGGCAGAGCAAACAGTACCTGCGGCAGCCGCCGGTCGATACGGCCGAACGAGCCGCTCTCTAGGCCGGTGCACGGCCGACCTGGGCCCCCAGACGCCGAGGCCGCCCTAGGTCGGCGTTGGGGCGGACCTGCCTGAGGAGGCGCCCGACGCGTCACGGACGGGCAGGCAGAGCGGCGTGATGCCAAGCGGCGAGCAGTGAAGCGCGTGGGAGCGTATGAAGCGCGTCCTTGGGTCAGTCAGATTGTGACAGCTTTGTAGAGACGCAAGAGCGCAAAAGCGATAAAGACGCACAGAAGCTTGGCTGCCGGTTGCAATGGCTTTGTTGTTCTGAGTTTCGCCCAGTTTTGGATGAATGCCTCCAAATGCATTCATGGTGCAGAGATACGAAGAGAAATGAACCAAATATGCATTCAAAATGCTTACAAGAGGTGAATTATTGTGTATTTCCTGCAACGGTAAACGTGCAAGCTTAATCACGGTTTCATCCAAGTCCTCCAGGAAAACAAACGGCATCCCAACTGCATGCAGATGCGTGACGGCATGGCACATGATGCAAGGCAGCGATCATGGCAATCATCAAACAGTAAAACCAGGCTTCTTGAGGGTGCCCGGGCGGCTGGATAGTTACGGGTGCTGTTCCTCCGCTTCACGGGCAGTTCGGAGACGCCGGCATACTCTGGCTGCAGAGGGTGCGCCAGCTGGGGCTGCTGCTGCACGGGCTGCTGCCCCTGCGGCTGCGGCTGCGGCTGCGGCTGCGGCTGCGGCTGCGGCTGCGGCTGCTCCGCCGAGCCGGCGCTGTCCGGCGCGAAGCTCACCGACAGCCGGTCGAAGGAGGGCGTGGGAGAGTGACTGTCTACTGGGCCCTGGCGACAGTCCGGCAGCCAGTGTGGCGGAGACGCGCTGGTCACGTGTCAGCGCCGGGCACGAGGCGTGACCGCGTCTGGCGACGGTCGGGCTGGATTGTTGGGTCAAGATGTGTGGCGTGAGCTAACGCCGCCTCCTGTCTGGACTTGTGCTGGGATCCGAGATAGTCACTGGGTTCAGTGTTACAGGCTATGTCGTATAGGCTGGTGTCATTGGCTATGCCATGGATGGATTGATTGATGTTCATGATCATTTTTTAAAGCTACACGATGTAAATCCCATGAACAGCTTCATAACACGTGAGCGTAATACCTGTCAAGGTGATCGATTTAGTAAAACTCAACATATTTGACGCCGGACAAAAATGTGCATTTCGTTTGCAATTCATGGGCACTACGTTATCACATACTATACTATGGCAAACGTCCAGTCGGCTGATAACAGTTGAAATTGAAATAATGGTCTCATCGGGGTCTATGCCTGGTTTCCAGGCCTGACGTGTTCGCCATCGCACGTCTGCCCGCGTCCTGGTGCCGCGGTGCCCTCGGTCGGATGGTGCACGTCGAGATTTCCAAGCCTCGTGGCTTATCTCATTCATGCATCCCGTTTATCAAGGCATGTCTTTCGCGTTTGTGGCTGAAACATCAATAGGTCTGCGCAGCCACACCGGGGCCGGGTTCATTATGAATGGCGGCGCCCCACGCCGGGTTCCTTCTTGTTCGGCTATGCAGTCTCCACAATAACCGCATTCTTTGTATGTGCATACGGGCTACAACGGAACTACCACTAAACCTGGAATCAAATGCTGCGTGTCACACATGCTCTCTGCTCGTATGAAGATCTGTTAATTTATTATGCAGGTTGTTAAGGGTACCCCGGCTAATGTTTGGCTTTTGGTGTTTCCCATTCCGCTGGTGAACCACCTGCCCACTTTTGGTCCTTCTAAAGCCTTCATCCCGCTTCTCAGGTTTTCCGCTGGCCTCGTCTCCCTTACGAGCCAACCTCTTTGAATTATAACACTATTGTTTGGAAAAAAATGTGTCATGTCGCTGTATCCTGTCACAATTGAAACTACCATTTGCTGTAACTTGAACGGGCTTGGTTTGGAATAAATGAAAACACAGCAATGCACGCAGGTCGTGAAATATATTTACCGTCGTGCTCTTGTTCGCGTAAGTAGTTGAATTTAAAATGATATTTAAGTTCAAAGTTATCATGACAAGTTTCCGACCTTCGATACGCCAGATACTACTGGTTCAACGGCTCCGTAGAGCTCAAGAGCGATTACATTAACGGTACTCAATGCTCAGAGCTGTGCTCATTTTCGACGATTTTAATTTGACAATGGTGTTAGATTTATTTGTGGTGTAGTTTAAAGGTTTTTCTTGGAAAATGTCATGCTTTGCTATCCCAGTTATCTATGCATCGCATCAAGGAGCAACGACTCCTTCTATAGTCTTTCTGTTAAGATTTAATATTACGCAATTCATAGAAGCGTTGCATACTACTGTACAGGACAGAAAAGTCCTTCAGGGAGGGAGCATCGAATTCAGAATTCCACCGGTTGCACCGCGATTTGGCTTGCCAAATGCAGTCCACAAGATTTGTCACATTTGGTTATGCTTTGCCGGTCAACGCTTGGCAATGTGCATGCCGACCATTTCAGTGTCATCCGCCATTTCAAATGACGAACACTCCCTCATCATCAGCGCCTGTCCTCGGTCGCCCTCAGTGTCTCACTTCGCGTCAACAGCGGTCACAAGCGATGCATCGGTGGTGTTTCAGCCGCCCACGGTTCAGCGGCTCAATGGTGCCGTCGGGCTGCTTCCGTCACCGTCGGTCCACAGCCATTATTCTCGCGTGCATTCAGCTGGGATCCATACAAAGGGCGCGCCGCGGACGCAGCGGAGTGGTACTATGTCCTCCGGTGAACCGGGTCAAAGTGCAGAGTTCGCCTGACACCTCACAAGGTGACTGATGCATGAGAAGGACGCGTCAGTAATTTCCGAAATGCTTAGCTTGGAAAAGTGCAGAGTAGCTGTTGAGTTGCAATAGACCAGGTTTACGAGGTTTTTGTCGTTCTCCGTTTTTAGTTTTGCCATTTTGTGGCGAATTAAACATCTCTGTGCCAGCCTCGTTCGCATATTCGTAAAGCAAGCAATGCTCTGGTGCATAGCTAGGGATCTTCGCACATCCTCTACCCTCAACAAAACGCGGATGGCGAGCATGTGTAGGTAAATCAGACATGTTGAATTGTGATTTATTAGGTAATGCTGCAAGGTGTTCGATTTTTCGAATTTATCTGAGTTTTTGTTTGCTACTTATGGCTGCGTTCAGGTGTGTAGTTTCATATTCATTCAGGGCTTCAGCTACAATAGCTTTGAGAACAAGACCCGGAGTGGTGCCAGATTTTCTCACATTTTAAGAATATGTCTAGTCCATTTTCCTTGATCAGCCCCTTCCCATGTTATCTTTTGCAAAGTTTTGCCCTGGCTGCACTATAACAAAGGTTATAACTTAAAACAGAAGACTTTCTCGTAAAGAAGGCCTTCCGTCCTCTCCAGCTATCTCAAAATTTATTGGTAGAGTGTATAGTTCACATAAACTTTGTGTGTATAGTGTACATAGGTACAATGTCTGTGTTTGTCTGGTGGCACATACGCTGACCAATATCTGGCAGCTATGTGGCTTGGCGCCCCAAAAACCATGCTTTCAGGACTCGTCTAGGGACGACGGCTGGCAACTCGACAAGAAAGCCAGGCGAAAGCAGAGCGATCATGTTTCATCATCACATAACACGTCAAGATATCAGACAAAATTCTTATTGAGCCGAAAATGTGCTGTAACGGTGTTGAGGATAATGATCTTTACAAGCTACGCTCAGGTAAAACTCCGACTTAGGGACGGCATCAACATCTCAACCACCTACATTTCTGTAGTGTAAGATAGCTTTTTAAAATGAAATGAGTCGAAGTTGAAGTTAAAACAACTGCTTCGGCCGACGTCATCCATGAGTTAACTCGGCCGTAAACGAAGACAACACCATCTGCAGGGAAGCTGAACGCTAATTTATGCAGTAATTACGTGTCCTGTGTAATAATTGTCTGGTTGGTCGGAATTGCTCCAAAGAAATCGACGTGATTGGAATCGGTTCCGGAAAAGCACCGCATACCATTAGAACGGAATCCGAGTCAACTCGAGACGCGTTACACTGGTTCGGCTTTAAGCAGGAATCAGGTTACCAGCCCAGTCTCGATGAGCATACAACGCAGCCAGTCAAATACTTCATGCTGTTTTGCGATGTCTCGAATGGTCTTTCCTTACCTATCAGTGCGTAGCAAGGTCACGTATCGCAGGTCAGCAGTGTCCCAGACGCTATCCCTTTCACCAGAACATTAATAAATGCTATTTGATAGGGAGTGGACATGCAGACACGGAATAATTAGGTTACAAATCCTGTAAGCTGTTTGCCGACACCTCTCTGCTTTTACATAGAAT